CCTCTAAAGTGCTCACACGACCACACGATGTCATCGAAGTCCGGCACTTCCTGAGAGCTGCAGAATGGGCAGGGGATCATTTCCGCCTGCGGGTTGGTCATCACAAAATATGCTGCAGGGGACACTAGGTGCCCCACCAGGACAGCTTGAGCATGAGACTTCAACTCACATGGGAGCTGGTTTAGGATGCTGATAGCGGTCTGAAACCTGCCACGAACCTGAGGCCATGACAGAGCGGCCAGCGGCCTAGCCCTATTTGACCCCTGCGCCAGCCAAGTTTGCCAACAGCTGGCCCTCCAAGCATCACGCAGGGCATGATTGATGGCATCTTTGTTTTGCTCAATGAGTTGGATTCCTCTCACTCTTCTGCCCCCACGAACGGCACAAGAGTACAGAGTTTCATGGGTTGCTGGGTGCGTCCAGCGAAAAACTCCATTCTCCCTCCATCCATGCCTCTGCATCCACCTGCGAGCCAGTCCCACCGGCCCATAGGAACGGCTGTGATGCCAAGCAGCTCGCAGCACAGGTAAATTACTTTGAATCAGGACCTGCGCCGTAGCAACTTGCCCGTGACGGTACTTGAGACAAGCACTGCGCTGCAAGAACAAGTCAGTCAAACTCCCTCCTCTGGCGTGCCCAGACGAGCGGATAGCTGTGTTAATGGTAGACTGAACCCCCTGAAAAGCCTTAAGAGCCTCCAACCTCACGTAAGTAGGAGCAGCAGCTTCGGCCACTGCAGACTGTTTGAGGAAGTGCGCCTTTCGGGCTTGATTGCAGGGCAGGTTACTGCCCCAAGCAGCCATTATCTTAGCTTCAGCGAGCCGGTCGCTCTCTTCACCTTGGGGCTTGCTGTGTGCCCTGTTTGTGTGAAGGCGGGAGCCCAGAAGGCGCGGGCGAAGCTTGACTTCCCCCACTTGTTTGCGACGAGTGAGCTCAGCTTGCATGTTTCTGCGGTCAGAAGCTGTGCCGACTGCTAGGGGAGCCGTCAGCCCGGCAGGGGAAGCCGGCTTTCTTGCTGGCCCCAAGCCTGTTGCGAGTCTGCTTAGGGCTCGGACAGCCAAGGCACCGTGCATAGCGTCGAATGCTTTGGTGAGGTCCGAGGCCCCGACATACCTTAGGTTGCCGCGCTGCGCGACTTCAGCTCAGCCAAGGGCTCAAGGAGAGCCGTGCGCACGCCCCTCGCAGGGAGCCCTCCGTGCACTTGGTTAGGGAACCGGCGCCGTAGCCAAGGCTTAGCGGACTCTTGTAGCAGACCACAGCCGATAAACAGCAGCCCCGATGCTTATGGGCCTCAAGTTTTCAAGCACACCCGGGGCCTTGCCGGGCTTGTTCATGTGAATTTGTCTCCACTGGCGCAAAGCCTTAGGCCAGCTGCTACCCTCCTCAATCTTATTGAGGAAGCCTGCAAGAAGGTCCAGAGCGGGACCTGGCCAGTGCCACAATTCCTCAGGC